CCAAGCTGGATTCGAACCCGCCACCTTAGGTGTATGTGGCTGGCGCCTTAGCCGCTTGAGCCACAGGTGCCGAGCCATACTTAAAACTGTTAAGAAAAAAGTATCCTCAGGAAAGTCTTACTTCCTCTTCTCTCTCTTCTACCCCAGTCCTATCTACTTCTCTAGATAACCACCATCGCTAGATTGTGTTATTCTTTTGGTATTTCTTTTTGTAAAAATACAGATTTATATAAATCTTTCTTACACAAATGGTGGTATCATATGAATATATGTTTTTTTCCTACATACACTTTTTATTTTTTAGAGACATGGCCTCTCTCTGTCACGTAGGCTAGAGTGCAATGGTCTGATCATAGCTTGCTGTAAGCTCAAATACCAGGGCTCCGGCAATCCTCCCACTTCAGCCTCCCAAGTAGCTAGGACTCTAGGCATGTGCCACCATGCCTGGTTGATTTAAAAAGTTTTGTGTATAGACAGGATCTTGCTTTGTTGTCCAGAATGGTCTTGAACTTCTGGGCTCAAGCAGTCTTCCCACCTTGGTCTCCCGGAGTGTTGGGATTACAGGTGCTATCTATTGTACCTTGCCCCTTACACTTTAAAATTGCTTATTCCACTTAATAATATACCCTAGAAATACTCTGTGAAAGTTCATGGAGGTCTTCCTTTTTCTTTTTTTGATTTTGTAGAAATGGGTTTAATATGAGGGTACATAAAATTAGGTTACATTGCATTTGTAGGTAAAGTCCAAGTTGTAGTTGAGTCCTTCACCCAGAGTGTGCCATATACCCCTACATTGTACTTATTAGGTGGGAGTTTGCTGAACCCTTTTTTCCCCTTCCCTCCCTCTTCTTGAATTTAATTGTGTTTTTATTTAGTGTGGGCCTGTAGTTGTTACTATATTAGTTTCAAATTAGTATTGAGGTGTGGGATGCTTGCTTCTCCATTCTTAAGATACTTTACTAGATCTTTCTTTTTCTTTTTTTAGCTCCATGGTATTTTACTGTGTGCATGTAGCATGTTTTTTTCCACCAGTCTTTTAGGTTTGGGCATATAAGCCATTTCCACAATTTTTCAATTAGAGATAATTATTGAATAGATAATCTTTTGCGTATGTATGTTTGTGTACTATCAAGAAAGTGATAGTACTATCATGAAAGTGTACTATCAAGATAAATTCCTGGGCAGCACCTGTGGCTCAAGGACTAGGGCGCTGGCCCCATATGCTGGAGGTGTCAGGTTCAAACCCAGCCCCAGCCAAAAACTGCAAAAAAAAAAAAAAAACAGATAAATTCCTAGAAATAGGATTGTGGGGTCAAAGGAAAAATGTATGTGTAGTTTTGTAAGATATTGTCTGGTTCCCCCCATT